AGCCAGTGTCAGTCCAGGTAGTATGTGAGAATCTCAGTAATTTGGAGCACGCAGAGCTGGGTCCTGTGCCGAGTGCTTCCCTGCCTAACTCATTTAACCTTCATTAGTTAGGAGGAAGCGTGTTCTTTTTTTCTCATTGTAGAGATTAGAAAATGGAATCAAAACTTTGTGGAACATATCTAAAGTGTTGCAGCTAGGGTATAACAGGCTTGAGCCTTTACATTTGTTCCCCTTTCCTAGAATGCACTTACCCCTCTAAGACTGGCATGGCAGTGTATCGCAAAATGAAATTTTCCTATTATGTTGCCTAACACATTGTAGGTATACAATAAATATTTATACATACTGAATAACAGGATTTTAATCACAGCTTTTAACTATATGGTGCCCTGGGAATGTCAGGAGGAGGTGGAGGAGAGTGACCACCTTAAGCAGATTGGTTCTCACAGTAGACATCTGTGAGACACAGTAGACATTAGACATGCACTAATCATTGGAGGAGGAAAAAAGCTTCTCCTTCCAAAAGCCAGTAGACTACAGGAGGAGAGAGACACGAGTAACTTTGGTGTATTGTGCTGGGTATTATGTTAGATAGCCTATGGGAGCCTAGAGAATGGGTACCCAGCTGGGCGCGGTGGCTCATGCCTGTAATCCCAGCACTCTGGGAGGCTGAAGCAGGTGAATCACCTGAGGTCAGGAGTTCGAGACCAGCCTGGCCAATATGGTAAAACCCCGTCTCTATTAAAAATACAAAAATTAGCTGGGCGTGGTGGCGGGTGCCTGTAATCCCAGCTACTCAGGAGGCTGAGGCAGGAGAATTGCTTGAACCCAGGAGGTGGAGGTTGCAGTGAGTGGAGATCGCGCCCCTACACTCCTGCCTGAGTGACAGAGCGAGACTCCATCTTAAAAAAAAAAAAAAAAATGGGCACCTAGCCAAGGTATTGCATCAATACATTGCTCACAGTAGTTAGTAATAAATGCCTACAGTATCCCTGAAAGCTTCCCTGAAACAACCCATTGTGGCCATCCAGAATAAGCCAAAATTCTATTTGGACTTGGGCTTCCTAGATGTGTTTGAGACCTATTGTATTAATTCTAGGCATACCAAATATATTTTGATCATATCTCTTTAATACTCTTCCCATCTTAACAAAACTGTAAGATAAAGACAAGATCTTTTATTTTACTTCAGTGGCCTCCACAGTGTAGAATAAATAAAGACACCTCGCTCTTTCTCCTCAGCATTTGGCCAAGAGAAGAATGTCCCTTTGAACAACTTCAGTGCTGATCAGGTAACCAGAGCCCTGGAGAACGTGCTAAGTGGTAAAGCCTGAAGCCTCCACTGAGGATTAAGAGCAACAGCCCCAGAGCCTGGGCTCTGCTGGACTTAGTATAATGTGAAAAAAATGTGTTCCCCTATTCCTCATAAAGCTTGTGCTGTAAAATACTTTCTCAGGGTGTTCTTGTCCTCATCTACCCTCTACCCCTTACTGTGTAACCACTGAGGCAAAGTAGCTTAATATAAAAATAAAACTTTATTCTGTCTCATCAAAAGCTACCAGCTGCTAAAGCAAAAATGAAGGGTGGGGGGCAGGGATTCTAGGGCCCCAGAATAAGTAGACCAAACTGAGTCCCTTTTGGTCCTCCTGCCTAGATAGTGCTGAGTGAAAGAGGAGGAGCTGCGACCCAAAGGTCTTGGCTTAGGTATGGGAGCAGAGAACATGAGACATCATTATGGTCCTAAATCTCCAAAGGCTCTGCTGTCTCCAAAGGCTCTACTGGACAAAGAAGCTTGATGTTAAGAGAGAGGGGAATGAGTGACATTGAGAAACGAGATCACCCTTGAAGAGCTGTCTGCCGGAGAGCATACACACGATCCTGGAGCTGGGCCTCTTCCTGATGCCTTTCCAGGGCCTGCAGCCCTGACTGCTGCAGGAAGACTTGAACAGCCTAGGGGCAGGGAAGAAAATTCAGCATACCTCATCTGTGTCCTAAGACTCAATTCCCACAGCCTCATGGGTCAGCCCACTTTAGAGGGTGTATTCCCCCACAAAAGGATGAAGGTTCTGACATGGAACCTATATAGGTTAGCCAGGCCCAGAGAACTATAGTTAGGACTGGACTGGAAGGGAGCTACTGTGTGGCTTCAGAACAGGGGTGACTGAGGATGTGGGCCAGAAACCTATACCTCTGGCTGATACAGGAACAGCAGATGCAGCAGCTCCAAACTCTGGCCTACTACTTCAGTGTCAGAAAAGGCTAGTGTGTGCAGTAAGGTGGGAAGCAGGGGCCCTGGCCACAGCCGCTGGCAGTAAGCAGGACCCTTCTCTGCAACATTGCACAAAACTGTGAGCACCTGCAGATAGATACATATATAGTCTACAAAGAATGAAACAAAGATCATAACAATAGCTAAAATATATGACATGGTGGCCACATGCCCAGGCACCATGCCAAGCTCTTCTACATGCATGTTCTCATACTCCTACAACTACCCTATGATGCAAGATTATCCCCAATTATAAGTGAGGAGGCTGAAGCTTAAGGTGGTTAGGTGATTTGTCCAAGGATAAATAATCCAGTTTAAGGGACACGTACCTAGACTGGTTGGGCCCTGAGGCCACACACCACCACCTGCTGGCTCTCAACTAAGGGTACATCTGAGGGCTCAGAACTGCTGTCCCATACAATCCGACTACCAGATCTTGGATTCAAGTGACCCCAATACATACCATTACGCTCACCACATTAGATACTGGCAACAGCTGCAAGAGGGGCTCAATCAGATCCAGGGAGAGCAAGGAGGTACAGAAACTAGGACTGTTTGCTGGAAGAGAAGTACCAGGGTGAAAAACTGCTTTCCCCCACCACCCCTGCCAATACTACCCACCTCAGCCTAGGCCATGGGGAAATATCCCCATTATCCAAATGTCCAGGTCTGGGCAGACTATGGTGCGTACCAGTGAGGTTGTTGAGGAGCCAGAGGCCCTCAGGGAGTAGACTGGGCTGTTTCTGGAAAAAGAACTGCAGAAGGATAAATAAGGCTGCCACAACACGCTCATCTCTGAGCTGCATTTGCCCTCCCACAGTCTCCACTGCTGCCTCAGTTAGCAGGTTGCTTAGACATCGAAGCACGGGGCATGCCAGCTGCAAAGACATATTGGGGGGTCAGGTGTAAGAAGGAAGAGGTTACCTGCATTCTGGAGTATCAGGAAACATCTCCCAGAATTTCACCTGACCTCTTCACCTACCAGCTCCAGTCCTGCATCCTCAGTTCTCTGGACAGCCCCAGCCAAGTCCAACAGCAGCAACCCCAGAGTAGACAGAGCCCCATGGCCAATGAGCAGAGGATTGCTGACCTGGCTGGGAAACAGGAAGCAAGCAGTCACTATGTATATAGTCAATTCCACCTTTAAGAAGTGAAGCGGTTCGGCGTTGTGGCTCATGCCTGTAATCCCAGCACTTTGGGAGGCCGAGACCAGCCTGGCCAACATGGCGAAACCCTGTCTCTATTAGAAATACAAAAATTAGCCAGGCATGGTGGCACGCATCTATAGTCCCAGCTACTCAGGAGGCTGAGGCAGGAGAATCGCTTGAACCCGGGAGGCAGAGGTTGCGGTGAGCTGAGATTGCACCACTGCACTCCATCCAGCCTGGGTGACAGAGCAAGACTCTGTCTCAAAAAAAAAAAAAAAACAGCTAAGGTCTGTGGGTCTCCTGGGCTCCAAAAAGAGAGGAGAGTGGAGGGAGGAAAACTCACTGTAGCAATTCCAGACCCAAGTTCAAAGAGTTGAATGTCATGAAAGGGAGCCCCAGGGAAGATCTGTGGTACTTTCCCAATTGCCCCATGTTACCTGCAGATGATGTAATGAAGGCACCAGGCAAACTCCACAGCGACCCCAGGGTTCAGCTTTGGGCCAGGTTGCAACATTTGTAGCATGTGCTGAGGGAGAGTGGAGGCCAAGATGGAGCTGCTGGCAGAAGCAGGGCTGTGAGTAGGAACCACGAAGATGCCAGTGGCTCTTACCAAACCCTGATAGCAGGTAGGAAAGTGTCCAGACCCAAAGCCCTGCCCAGATGGGAAAGTTTCCAAACCCAAAGCCCTTCCTAGCCAGACATATGAAGTTAAAATATGCAACAGCTTTGGAAATCATTCAGGCATCCGGGAGCTATACTACTACTGAGTGGGTCACCTCTGGCTGCACATCAAAAGACAATTTTACTCACGGAATGATCTTCTCTGGAGCTTCCTTAGCCTGTAGAAGCTGGGACAAGGCATATCCAAGAGCTTCCAGCACAGCCACATGGGGGGACTGAAAGTAGACAGGGTAAGGATCTGACTGGAAGCTGGGTCATAAGGTCTTCAGAGACTTTCAGCCCCTTGGCACAGAGCAGAAGCTGCAGCTACCTAACCAAAGTAGATGGAGCATGTGGGAAGGAGCAAAGGAAGGGTTGCCCAGGGAGGAAGAAAGGAGTCACCTGAATGCAGGCAGCCAAGGCTGGAACAATGCCCTGTGGCAGGAGCTGCCTTCTCACAGCCTCACTCTCCACGATCAGGTTACCCAGTGTATACAGACACAGCTCCTGAGAACAGGCAACAAAAGCACTGGGCTTGGCCTGTTTCATGCCAGGCTGGGTGTGGGGAGATGGGGAGGGGAGGTGATGGGGACACTGGAGCAGCTATCCTTGACGCTCACAAGAGGGTGGGGAGATGATGGGTGTAGGCATGGCTGTAGGCATAAGGGCAAATATGTTTTCTTCCTCCTACTTGCCAGCTCAAACTGGTCCCAAAAGCACAATTTTAAAATCTAAACCAAGAACAAGATAGGAAGGGACAGGGCTTACTATGAAGTCTGAGCTGTGACCGGAGAGGTAGGTGAGGAGGTAGGAAGTAGCTGGCAGGCAGGCCTCAGCAATGGTGGACTGCTCAGAGTGAGAAAGCTCATGCAGGCACCGAGCCGCCTCAAGCTGCAGCAGAGCCTGGTTGCTGGTCAGGAGCCCGACCAGGGTCCGCATGCTGCCCTCCAGCCTACGTGAATGAGTACCAGAGCCCTGCTTAGCTTGTGGCCCATCCCTCAGAGCCCCAGCTCCCCCCTCCCCCACACCACCCACACTGACTGGATGAAGGTTTGCTGTGTTTCAGGGTGCTGCAAGCCTCGACGAAGGCTAACCAGAGCCCCCTCTCTCTCCTTTTCTTCTGTACCCCGCTGGGCTTGCCGCAGGAACTGCTGCACCTGGAGTTCAGGGCAGGGAAAGGAGAACACATAGTTCCCAGAAAGCAAGTTCTAAGTTTCTCTCTGCCCACTTCACCTGTGAGCCTTCCAATATCATACCACCTCCAGAACTTGTCATTCACACTAATGCAACTAATAAGCATCTACCTTGCAGTGGAGTGGACAGAAAATCAGAACTGAGTTCTAATACCATACCTGCCACTCACTCCACATGGGACCTGAACCTAAGTTTCCTCACCTGAAAATGAGAATAACAATATCTACCCTGCCTTCATACAAGGTTCTTTCAAGGATATTTAAACCTCTCAGCCTGGCAAAACCTACTCCTCCAGCCATTCTCCCCATGCAACCTACACTCTAACAACAACTAGCACAACATTAGCCTTTTTTTTTTTTAACACTTCCGAGCTTTTGCACATGCTATTCCTTCTGCCTGGATACCCTCTCCAGCTTCCCACTCTTTTCAGATTTCTGCTCCTCATTCTCTCTGGGAAGTTAGCTCTTTTTGAGAGACTTAGGAGTTTCTTTTGTTCCTCATGTTTCCTTCCCTTATGACATGTCTTCTTCACTGGGCTGTGAGCACCTCAAAGAAAGGGACTTCATCTTTATGTACCTCAGTGACCAGCACAGTGTCCTGGCATAAAGTAAGCACACAATGGAATAGTACAACCTAGAAATAAGTTGACAAAATATATGTCAACATAGTATGTACGATAAACTATGTATGTAAACATAATACAAATATAGGGGATACTCAATGCTTGCTGAATAAATCCTTTCATTCACTCATTCAATAAATACTAAGCACTTAACTATATGCCAGATAATGTGCGGGCAACCGGGTTTTCAATGATAACAAATAACACAGGATCTAGGTTTTCCTGCAATTAAAGTCTAGTTGGAGAAAGAACAATAAACAAGCCATTAGATAATGATTAATATTTTACAAGAAACAAGTAGGTGGCCGGGCACAGTGGCTCACGCCTGTAATCCCAGCACTTTGGGAGTCCGAGGCGGGTGGATCACGAGATCAGGTGTTCGAGACCAGCCTGACAAACATGGTGAAACCCCGCCTCTACTAAAAATACAAAAATTAGCCGGGCATGGTGGCGCACGCCTGTAATCCCAGCTACTCAGGAGGCTGAGGCAGGAGAATCGCTTGAACCCGGGAGGCGGATGTTGCAGTGAGCCGAGATCATGCCACTGCACTCCAGCCTGGCGACACAGCGAGACTCTGTCTCAAAAAAACAAAACAAAACAAAAAGAAGGTTCTCAAGACAGAATACCAAAAGAAACCCACATCAGACGTAGCGAATGCCAAGGGCTTGAGACACAAGGGTCCGATATATCGTTGCAGGAACTGAAAAGGGGACAGTGGCTAGGATGAGAAAACTGATAAAATTAGAGTTAGGAAGAGGCTAGACCATGCTATGATTTGCAGGACACAGGAAAGATTTTGGTCTCCATGTGTTTTTAAAGGACGTATTGACGGCGACAAGCATAGATGCAGGGTGACCTTTTAGGAGACTGCAGTAGTATCCAGAGAGGTAGTGGTGGCAGCTTCGATGGTGAAGCATGTAAAGACTCCAAAGCTCTTCAGGAGGTACACAACTAGGACTTGATGATGGAATGATATGGGGTTGAGGGTCAAAGAGTTGTGCAGGATGATTCCCCTGTTTCTGGCTTGACCCACTGGATGCATGGAAGTGTAGAGTGGATTGCGTTCAGGTTTGGGGCAGACCTCGAGTACTCCCGGGAGTCTGGCGCCCAGTGGCGTGGACTCCAGCGCACCCTGCCTTGCCCCCTCACCTCGGCCTCCCCGAGGATCGCAGCCACACATCCCTCTCCAGCTTCCTCTGGGGCGTCTTCTCTCAGCAGCCTCTTGCTGACCAGCTGCTGCTCCCTCCGCGCCTTCCGCAGTGCTGGGGGCAGAGGAGCGGGCTGAGCGTGGGAAGGACGACCGGAACCCAGATCCCGCGGCTCCAAGCCTGAAGTCTCAACCTATCTCCGATCGCTATATGCCCCCGCGCTCCCTCGGCCGCCCACACCTGCCTCCTGCTCCCGCCGGCGGCGCCGTAGCTCCTCCACCCCGCAGACTGTGGGCCTAAGGTGGCCCTGCCGTCGGCTCCACATGGTAGAGCAGGAGGAGGAACGCCGCAGGAAACAGCCGCCACAACGCTCCCAGGGGCGTAGACGATGGCACCGACTGCGCAGACTCAGCACAGGGAAGGCCCAGGCGGGGAAGTCGCCAGGAGCGGGGTGGGTGCTGGGTGAGGGCGGGGCTCGGCGAGCGGACGCTGCGCGGGGACGGTGGGCGGGGTGAGGGCTAGAGACGCTGCACCACCAGACCAGAGCCAGAGGCGGCGCTCCGCCTCTGATTGATTTGTCTTATCAATTTTAGGAAAAGAAGTCACTCATCCCTTACCTCAAGTGCCCCAAGCCAGCGGTGTCACAATCTACTCAGCAAACACAACTTCCCCACCCACAATGCGCTCTAGATGAACGTTCAAAACAACCCTGAACTCCGGGAAGCGCCACCATGCCATTTCACCATTAATGCGGATCCCACTGATAAGAGCTGCCAGAAACGCTTGAAGCGTCATTGAATTGTCAACGAAGAGTCAAACTCTGTAAAATATTTGAAGAGACTTATTCTGAGCCAAATATGAGTGACCATGGCCCGTGACACAGCCCTCGGGAGGTCCTGAGAACATGTGCCCAAGGTGGTCCAGTACAGCTTGGTTTTACATATTTTAGGGAGATATGAGACTTCAATCCAAATCATTCAAGAAATACACTGGTTGGGCCGCGCGTTGTGGCTCACGCCTGTAATCCTAGCACTTTGGGAGGCCGAGGCGGATGGATCAATTTAGGTCACGAGTTTGAGACTGGCCTGGCCAACATGGTGAAAGCCCATCTCTACTAAAAATACAAAAATTAGCCGTAGTGGTGGGTACCTGTAATCCCAGCTACTCCGGAGCCTGAGACAGGAGAATGGTTTGAATCCGTGAGGCGGAGGTTGCAGTGGGCCGAGATCGCGCCATTGCACGCCAGCCTGGGCTACAAGAGCGAAACTCCGTCTCAAAAAAAAGAAAAAGAAAGAAAGAAATGTGGGATATGATGAGGTTTCTCTTCAAATAATTAGATCAGTCTTTTATTCTTTAATTCATAGTATCCCCCACACACACCTTTTTTCCCCTTTTTCTCCTTTTTTTTTCCTTTTTGCCTTCATTAGATGCCCAGGCACGCCACAGTACCAGGCGTTATCTGTACCAGCTCACATTCCTTTCTTTATTTGGAAAGAGGACTAACTTTGTAGTTTATTACAGGCACCCCTTCCCCTTCCTCTCTACTTTCTTTTAAGTGTCCACCTTATCTAAAAAATTCAAGTGTTTAGCCAACCGGGATTAGTTTAGATTGTATGACCCGCAGGACTTGCGTCAGGAATAAAGGCTCTCGTGCCCCTTTGTTCAGGTGTGCTCTCATGGCGACTGGCCAAACAGACACCCCTCTGCACAGAAGTAAAATTGCTTTGCTAAGAATCCTTTGTTCGAGTGTTCAATTTCCCTTAGGATTTTGGGTGTTGTTCCTAACAGAAAGAAGGAAAGAAAGAAGGAAAGGAGGAAAGAAGGAAGGGAAGGGAGGGGATGGGAGGGAGAGAAAGAAAGAAAGACATTGGTTTGTGGGACAACACAAAGGCGGGACAACTCAAAGTGAGGCGGTGGGGGGGCTTCCAGCTTATAGGTAGGTTTTAAATTTTTCTGGTTGACAATTGGTTGAGTTTCTCTAAAGACCTGAGATCAATAGAAAGGAATGTCTGGGTTAAGATGAAGGATTGTGGAGACCCAAGTTCCTATTTGCAGAGGAAACCTTCAAATCCTAGGCTTCAGAGAGAATGGGTTGTAAAATGTTTCTTATCAAATTTAAAGTCTGTGTTGATGTTAACGCTGGAGAGGTATAATGAGGCATGTTCAACTCCCACTTCCCGTCATGCCTTGAAACAGTCACTCTGTTAAATTTTAAAAGAGCCCTGGCTGAAGAGGAAGTCCATTCAGATGGTGGGGGTTGGGGGGGGGGCTTAGAATTTTATTTTTGTTTTACAGAATGTTCACCACAATGACCATTATTCTCATTTTATATATGATGAAAATGAGAAAAATATCATTACTTCACTTCTCTGCATAAAACTGAGTTCCCATAATTTTTAGGATAAAATCTTTCACCAAATGTTGAGCGCCACTAGTCTACTAGGCACTAAGGAAACACTAGTGAATAAAAAACCATGTTCCTCACACTCAAAATTGGAATTGTGCCCAACTTAGCTCTACATGGTCTAACCCCTGCATACCTCTCCAATCTGGACTCACCTCTTCTGGGACCTTCTCTTTGTTAACAAGCCCTGCTCTTTTTCTCCTCCCCACTCCCACTCTTGGGGGAGGCTCTTGCACAAGTTGTTTTCTCTGCCTGCACCCTTACCTCTTCTCCCTAAGGAGAAGCATCCTTCCCTTAACAACATTCTCAACATCTCAAGTCCAGTGTCACATACTCAGAACCATTGTACCAATGACCCAGCTTCTTCATAACCCTTTTCACAGCTATCATTAAGTTATAGTGTAATTATTTGATGTTGTCTCCTCCCAGACCCCCTTGGCAGCTCCAGATTAGGGTCCTGGTGGCACCTAAGAATTTTTACAGGAAACCTCTAATTTTTAAAAACCTATATAACTTAGGCAAAGGTTCAATTAAGCACAAATCTAGGAAAAAAGTTATTCTTAAAACCAACTTCTTTCCCTTGACCTTAATTCTACCCCTTGGAATTAATCAATGAAGTCTGCAATCTCTTCCACAAAACAGCACGTTAAAATATCTACAGACCATCATTCTATCCTTAATATCTTCTCTCCCAGTATCCATCCATCCATCCCCTGGACAGCTATTTATTGAGCACCTGCTGTGCACCATGCTCTGGCCAGGGACAGGGCCTGGATCTTGACCCCTTCCTCATGCAACTGTCTGGCTTCTTTTTTTAATTTTTCAATTTTTAAAAAAATTTAATTAAAAAATTTTTATTTTCTTATTTCTCCAAGAAAAACTTTTTATTTATTTATTTATTTATTTATTTATTATTTTGAGCCAGGGTCTTGCTCTGTTGCCCAGGCTGCAGTGCAGTGGTGCAATCATGGCTTATCACAGCCTGGAGCTCAGCCTTAAATGATCCTTTCAGCTTGGCCTCCCAAAGTGCTAGAATTACAGGCATGAGCCACTGCACTTAACCCAGGCTGGCTTCTAAAACCCACACTTGGCCGGGCAAGGTGGCTCATGCCTATAATCCCAGCACTTTGGGAGACGGAGGCGGGTGGATCACCTGAGGTCAGGAGTTCGAGACCAACCTGACCAACATGGTGAAACCCCATCTCTACTAAAAATGCAAAATTAACCAGGTGTGGTGGCACATGCTTGTAATCCCAGCTACTCGGGAGACTGAGGCAGGAGAATCGCTTGAACCCAGGAGGTGGAGGTTGCGGTGAGCTAAGATTGCGTCATTGCACTCCAGCCTGGGCAACAAGAGTGAAACTCCATCTCAAAAAAAAAAAAAAGAAAAAAAGAAAACAACAACAACAACTACAACTAAACCCACACTTACTCCAGGTGGGGAAGATGAAACAAGTTCCCAGCCAAAAGCTATATTCTGCCCAGTGTCTGCTCAGACAGCTACAGCTGCCCAAACTGCCTTTCTGTATCTACCTGTCTGGCAACACTGTTAACCCTGTAAGAACCAGCCCCAGGTCCTGTCTTGTACAGGACTGGCTGTTCCTTTCTCCAGACCATGTTCCTCCCCACCTCCGCCCTCCTCCCCCAACAACACAAACCTTCTGTAAGAGCCCTCTCCACTATGGACTGAAGTTCTGGGTTCATGTTTGCTCTACCCACCTCCTGGAGCACTTCAGGGATTGTCTTGGTTATGTCTGCATCCCAGGGCTTTCTACCAACCCTAGTACTCGGTAGACAAATGGTAGATATTTGTAGAATCAAGCTGTGAGTTGGAGATCTTTGCAGAACCATCACTGCTCCTCTTAACTTGCACCTCCCCACCCCTAAGATGATGAGGTGTCAGACTTCAGGGGCCTGAGTTCTCTGAATGCAGACTCTGAGAAAGAAGACTAGTCATCAGGACTACACTGAAAAGATGTGGTTCTGTGCCAAAGACTTTACTCACAAACAGGTAATACTATCATCTCCGTTTCACAAAAGGGAGGCCCAAGTCTCACAACCTCAGTGGTAAAGCTGGGATTCCAAGACTGGCTGACTTCAAGTCAGATATACTCACATCTTGGTCTTCAGGGATATCACAGAGGCCTGGCATGGCACCAGGGCATGGCCCAGTGCATTGGGGTATGCCCAACAGGACCCACAGGGGGCAGTGATGAGCCTTCTTGTTTGGACTGGGGACAAATCTGCAGCTACTTCTCAATTAAAGAGGAAGTGGGAATTTAAAAAAGACTTTCGGTCAGGCACGGTGGCTCACACCTGTAATCCCAGCACTTTGAGAGGCTGAGGCGGGTGGATCACTTGAGGTCGGGAGTTCGAGACCAGCCTGACCAACATGGAGAAACCCCATCTCTATTAAAAATACAAAATTAGCCAGGGGTAGTGGCGCATCCCTGTAATTCCAGCTGCTCAGGAAGCTGAGGCAGGAGAATTGCTGGAACCCGGGAGGCGGAGATTGCAGTGAGCCGAGATTGTGCCATTGCACTCCAGCCTGGGCAACAAGAGCGAAACTCCGTCTCAAAAATTAAAAATAAATTAAAAATAAATAAATAATAAGAATACAAATACAAATAAAATAAAAATAAAAAAGACATTCAGGCCAAATGTAGTGGCTCTCATCTGTAATCCCAGCACTTTGAGAGGCCAAGGTGGGCAAATCACCTGAGGTCAGGAGTGCCTGGCCAACAGAGTGAAACCCTGTCTCTCCTAAAACTACAATAATTAGTTGGGCGTGGTGGTGGGCTCCTGTAATCCCAGCTACTTGGGAATCTGAGGCAAGAGAATCGCTTGAACCTGGGAGGCAGAGGTTGCAGTGAACCAAGATCACACCACTGCACTCCAGCCTGGGCAACACAGCAAAACTCGGTCTGAAAAAAAAAAAAAAAAAAAGACTTTCATATAGTTCTTTCCCCAGAGGTCTAGGGATGTGGACCTGTGAGGGCTGTTGTAACTACATAGCTCCTTATCCTCTGGGACATTTGCTGCTTTTTCGTTTTGTTTTGTTTTCTGTTTTTGTTTGTTTTTTGCAAAACTGGTGAGTTACTAATTAATCCTCATTCAACATAGTCCCATCCCTTCCTTCCTAGGGCACAGAGATTGTACTGAGAGGAGGGCAGGAGAGAGCAAGGTGCAAGTGGGAAAACTGGTTCAAAATACCTTGCTTCACAATTCAGGACAGAAAATGGATACTGTAAGTGACCGAGCGACTTGGCCAATGTGTCTCTGTTAAACATCTCCACTTTTAAGAAAGTTATTACTTAATCAAAGGAGCAAGGAAAAAAAAGGAAGGGGGAATTTGTCTTCAGAGCAACTTCCTTTTCTTGAACCTAATTCCATCCCTTGGTGCCAACAGATGAGGTTCACAATCTCTTCCACAAAACATCCAGTTAAATATCTGAGGATAATCAGGGACTTGGATTTGGGTGGCGGGAGATCAACATAAACCAAGACAAGGAAGAAGTCAAAGAAACGAATCAAGTAGAGTCTCTGGGATATAACGTGGTGGTTTGGGGGTTTGCATAGTGCAGAGTATGGTACTGGCCTAAGGCACTGAGGATCATCTTTTTCCCATACCCACCAGAGACGCCTTAGGCGCCTAAGTCATCAGGGCATTCACCGCCTGGGGCGCTTGAGTCATCAGGACACTGCCAGGAGACACAGAACCCTAGATGCCCTGCAGAATCCTTCCTGTTAGGGCTCCCCTCCCTGAAACATCCTTCACTGCTATATTTCCAAGAAAGGAAGGGGGCTGGCTGGGAGGAAGAGAGGTGGGGAGGTGATCAGGGTTCACAGAGGAGGGAACTGAATGACATCCCAGGATTACGTAAACTCTTAGAGACAGTTCACAAGTATTCACAAGTTCACAAGTGTGAAGCCTGGAAGCTGGCGGGTGCCGCTGTTTAGGAAAGAAGCTAGAGCCCTTCCAGAGCCTGTCCGGAGCTCAGAGGCTGGGAAGACTTATCGACCATGGTGAGTGTAGGGTCTTGGGGTCGAACGTGTGCCACTCGGGAGCCACAGGGGTCGGATGGGGCCTCCTAGACCTGTGCTCTCTCCCCAGGAGCGCGCATCCTGCTTGTTGCTGCTGCTGCTGCCGCTGGTGCACGTCTCTGCGACCACGCCAGAACCTTGTGAGCTGGACGATGAAGATTTCCGCTGCGTCTGCAACTTCTCCGAACCTCATCCCGACTGGTCCGAAGCCTTCCAGTGTGTTTCTGCAGTCGAGGTGGAGATCCGTGTCGGCGGTCTCAGCCTAGAGCCGTTTCTAACGCGCGTCGATCCCGACGCCGACCCGCGGCAGTATGCTGACACGATCAAGGCTCTCCGCGTGCGGCGGCTCACAGTAGGAGCCGCACAGGTTCCTGCTCAGCTACTGGTAGGCGCCTTGCGTGTACTAGCGTACTCCCGCCTCCAGGAACTGACGCTCGAGGACCTAGAGATAACCGGCACCATGCCTCCCCTGCCTCTGGAAGCCACAGGGCTTGCACTCTCCAGCTTGCGCCTACACAACGTGTCGTGGGCGACAGGGCGTTCCTGGCTCGCCGAGCTGCAGCAGTGGCTCAAGCCCGGCCTCAAGGTACTGAGCATTGCCCAAGCACACTCGCCTGCCTTTTCCTGCGAACAGGTTCGCGCTTTCCCGGCCCTCACCAGCCTAGACCTGTCTGACAATCCTGGACTGGGCGAACGCGGACTGATCGCGGCTCTCTGTCCCCACAAGTTCCCGGCCCTCCAGAATCTAGCGCTGCGCAACACAGGAATGGAGACGCCCACAGGCGTGTGCGCTGCACTGGCGGCGGCAGGTGTGCAGCCCCACAGCCTAGACCTCAGCCACAACTCGCTGCGCGCCACCGCAAACCCTAGCGCTCCGAGATGTATGTGGTCCAGCGCCCTAAACTCCCTCAATCTGTCGTTCGCTGGGCTGGAACAGGTGCCTAAAGGACTGCCGGCCAAGCTCAGAGTGCTCGATCTCAGCTGCAACAGACTGAACAGGAGGCCGCGGCCTGACGAGCTGCCCCAGGTGGATAACCTGGCACTGGACGGAAATCCCTTCCTGGTCCCTGGAACTGCCCTCCCCCAAGAGGGCTCAATGAACTCCGGCGTGGTCCCAGCCTGTGCACGTTCGACCCTGTCGGTGGGGGTGTCGGGAACCCTGGTGCTGCTCCAAGGGGCCCGGGGCTTTGCCTAAGATCCAGGAGAGAATAATGAATGGGCTCAAACTGCCTTGGCTTCAGGGGCGTCCCGTCAGGACGTTGAGGACTTTTCGACCAGCTCAACCCTTTGCCCCATCTTTATTAAAATCTTAAACAATGGGTCCTTGTCATTCATTTAACAGACCTTTATTGGATGTCTGCTATGTGCTGGGCACAGTGCTGGATGGGGAATTCATCACACTTAGGCTTTCTTCATCCTAACTCCCTAAGAAACCCTACCTGTCCTCCCCAAGAAAAGAACTGCGGGGATAGAAGGAGCCAGGAAAGGACTCCTGGCTAGGGCTACATGGGAGAAACAATGAGTGTGCAGTCAGGGCTTTCTGAGCAGATTATCGGCATCTGGATTAAAAGATATTTGAATGATATTTGGAAGATACAAAATATTTCCTCTCCTATGCACTTCCCAAGAACCAACTGCTCCCTTTCAAAGGTAATAAAACCCACAACCATTTGCTTATTTCCTTGTTCTCTCTCTCTGTCTCTCTCTCTCTCTCTCACACACACACACACACACCCTCCCTCTCCCTCTCTGTTTGTCTCCCTTACCACTCAAGGAAGAGGGACAGCCTCCTATCCTGCACAAGCTCTGAGTTTCATAATATTAGGGTTCCTCTCTTGTAAACCTCTCTACACCCAGAGGCTTTCACTGTGTCACTCCCCGACATAATGGGGAATTTGGGCCTGGGGAACTGACGCAAGATGCAGTCGGTCTCTGAATTAGAGATCCTGTGTTCTGTTAGTACATATGTAGATAACCTTTTCAGGCTGACTCTGATTGGCAAGTAGGATAGCATCTCAGACTCTTCAAAACTTCAGAATAAACAGGATGTGTCCTCTAGTCCACATTAGCTCAGAGACCTAGGGTATCAGCCATCAAGAGGTGCTGTTTCTTCTGAGTCCCTTCTTCATTTCAATAAGGAGGCAGCCACATCCATTAGAAAGCTAGATGCCTGCCTCTCAGGGAACATGGGAGAGAGGTGGGAGGAGGTATATAGGCCCAGCACTTGCCTCTGGCCAATGTCCAGAGCTACACAGATCTGAATGGGGAATGGAAATTAACATTGATAAAAGAGTTACAGACATTACCAGAACCAGACTCAAACTGTGTCAGAAAACAGTTCAATTAGCTGGACACTCACTGGAATGTCCCCAAGGGGCCTTCAACCAGCCAGTTGGGAGATTTCAAGTATCAGATAATTAATCATCTCAAGGCAGTTTCTTTCCCCCCCTTGAATAGCTCTGATTACACTTCATCAAATGGTTACAGAACCCCATTTCACCTCAGGCCTTGTGCTAAAGCCTGGAATACAAAGATGAATCAGAAACATCCATGCCCTTAGGGAATTCCAATCCAGTGGCTGGGGGAGGGAGGTGAAAACACTAAAAGACAGTTTTTTATGTGTGAGAAATAACTGTGAGAATATATATAAATTTCTGTTGGTTAAGCCACCAGTCTATGATATTTTGTTATGGTAGCCTGAGCTGACTAAGGCAGTAGTGGAGATGTAAAATATCCCATTGCAAAAAAAAAAAAAAAATTAAGAGTAATAACCATCCTGGCTAACACGGTAAAACCCCATCTCTACTAAAAAAAAATACAAAAAATGAGCCGGGTGTGGTGGCGGACGCCTGTAGTCCCAGCTAATCGGGAGGCTGAGGCAGGAGAATGGCGTGAACCCGGGGGCGGAGCTTGCAGTGAGCCCAGATCGCGCGACTGCACTCCAGCCTGCCACAGAGCGAGACTCTGCCTCAAAAAAAAAGAAAAAAAAAGAAAAAAAGAGTAATATTATCTGGGCCAGGTGCGGTGGCTCACGCCTGTAATCCCAGCACTTTGGGAGGCTGAGGTGGGCGGATCATGAGGTCAAGAGATTGAGACCATCCTGGCCAACATGGTGAAACCTTGTCTCTACTAAAAATACAAAAATTAGCTGGGTGTGGTGGCATGTGCCTGTAATTCCAGCTACTCAGGATGCTGAGGCAGGAGAACCGCTCACTCAAACCTGGGAGGCAGAGGTTGCAGTAAGCCAAAATGGTGCCACTGCACTCCAGCCTGGGCTACAGAGCGAGACTCTGTCTCAGAAAAAAAAAAAAGGGAGCAGATATTGTTGAGGATTGATATGTTATACAGGTTGACTATCCTTTTTTTTTTTTTTCTTAAGACAGAGTTTCACTCTTGTTGCCCAGGCTGGAGTGCAATGGCACAATCTCAGCTCATTGCAACCTCCGCCTCCCAGGTTTAAGTGATTCTCCTGCCTCAGCCTCCTGAGTAGCTGGGATTACAGGTGCCTGCCACAAGGCCCAGCTAATTTTGTGTATTTTTACTAGAGACAGGGTTTCGCCATGTTGGCCAGGCTGGTCTCAAACTCCTGACCTCGTGATCCACCTGCCTCAGCCTCCCAAAGTGCTGGTATTGCACACGTGAGCCACTGTGCCCGGCCTTATGTTTTCTTCTAAGAGTTTTATAATTTTTGCTCTTGTAGCAACTTGATCAATTTTTAATTTTTATATAAGGTATAAAGTAAAGATCCAACTTCATTCTTTTGCATGTGAATATCCATTTTCCCCAGTGCCATTGTATGAAAAGACCTCCTTTTATCTATTGAATAGCCTTGGCACCTTTGTCAAAATCATTTGACCATATATGTGAGGGCTTATTTCTGAGCTTTCTATTCTATTCCTTGGTCTATGTGTCTGTCTTTATGCTAGTACCACACTGTTTTGATTACTGCAACTTAGTAATAAGTTTTGAAATCAGGATGCATGAGATCTCCAACTTCGTTCTTTTTTTCCCCAAGATTATTTTGGTCATTCAGGATCCCTTGAGGGTCCATATTTTGAAGTGAATTTTTCCATTTCTGAAAAAAAAAAAGCCATTGCATTTTGCTAAGAAATGCATTATATCTGTAGATCACTTTAGAAAGTGTTGCTATCCTAAAAATATTAAGACTACCAATGAGGCCAGGCACGGTGGCTCAAGCCTGTAATCCCAGCACTTTGGGAGGCCGAGACGGGCGAATCATGAGGTCAGGAGATCGAGACCAGCCTGGCTAACACGGTGAAACCCCATCTCTACTAAAAATACAAAAAACTAGCCGGGCGAGGTGGCGGGCACCTGTAGTCCCAGCTACTCGGGAGGCTGAGGCAGGAGAATGGCGTAGACCCGGGAGGCGGAGTTTGCAGTGAGCTGTGATCCGGCCACTGCACTCCAGCCTGGGCGACAGAGCAAGATTCCATCTCAAAAAAAAAAAAAAAAAAGACTACCAATGAACATGGATTAATTTTCTATTTATTTGTATCTTTAATTTCTCTGAGAATTTTGTAGTTTTCATTGTACAAGTCTTTTGCCTCCTTGGTGAAGTTTATTCCCAAGTATTTTATTATTCTTTTTCATGCTATTGTAAGTGAAACTGTTTTCTTAATATCCTTTTCAGATTGTTCATGGTTAGTATATAGAAACAGTGATTTTTCTGTGTTGATTTTGTATCCTGCTACTTTACTAAATTTGTTTATTAGTTATAACAGGCTTTTTGGAATGTTTAGGAGTTTCTACATATAAGATCATGTCATTTACGACTGGAGATAATGTTACTTCTTCTTTTTCAATTTGGATGCCTTTTATTTCTTTTTCCTGCCCAATTGCTCTGGCTAGGACTTACAGTGCTATGCTACATAGAAGTATTGAAAGTACTTCCCAGTGGGCGAGGTGGCTCACACCTGTAATCCCAGCACTTTGGGAGGCTGAGGTGGGCAGGAGTTCAAGACCATCCTGGCTAACACGGTGAAACCCTGTCTCTACAAAAATACAAAACATTAGCCGGGAGTGGTGGCAGGTACCTGTAATCCCAGCTACTCGGGAGGCTGAGGCAGGAGAATGGTGTGAACCTAGGAGACTGAGCTGCAGTGAGCCAAGATCGTGCAACTGCACTCCAACCTGGGCGACAGAGTGAGACTCTGTTGAAAGAAAGAAAGAAAGAGAGAGAGAGAAAGGAAAGGGGGAAGAAAGAGGGAAGGAAGGAAGGAAGGAAGGAAGGAAGGCAGGCTGACGGAAAGAAGGAAGGAAGGAAGACTGATGGAAAAAAGGAAGGAAGGAAGGAAGAAGGAAGGAAGGAAGGAACTTCCCTTGCTCATGATCTTAGAGGGAAAGCTTTCAGTTTCTCACCAGTGAGTATGCTGTTACGTTTGTTGTTGTTGTTGTTGTTTTTTAAGATGGAGTTTCGCTCTTGTTGCCCACCCAGGCTGGAGTACAATGGTTTGATCTCGGCTCACTGCAACTTCTGCCTCCTGGGTTCAAGCAATTCTCCTGCCTCAGCCTCCCAAGTAGCTGGGATTACAGGCACCTACCACCACGCCCAGCTAATTTTGTATTTTTAGTAGAGATGGAGTTTCTCCATGTTGGTCAGGCTGGTCTCGAACTCCTGACCTCAGGTGATCTGCCCGCCTCAACCTCCCAAAGTGCTAGGATTACAGGCATGAGCTACTGTGCCTGACCGCATTTGTTGTTTTTTAAGATGAGAGATGGCCGGACGTGGTGGCTCACGCCTGTAATCCCAGCACTTTGGGAGGCCAAGGTGGGCGGATCACAAGGTCAGGAGATCAAGACCATCCTGGCTAACATGGTGAAACCCTGTCACTACTAAAAATACAAAAAATTAGCTGGGCGTGGTGGTGGGCGCCTGTAGTCCCAGATACTCAGGAGGCTGAGGCCGGAGAATGGCATGAACCCAGGAGGTGGAGGTTGCAGTGAGCCGAGACCATGCCACTGCACTCCAGCCTGGTCAACAAAGCAAGATTCCATCTCAAAAAAAAAAAAAAAAAAAGAGAGATGAGCCTGGTGCAGTGGCTCATGCCTGTAATCCCTGTGCTTTGGGAGGCTGAGATGGGAGGATTGCTTAAGGCCAGGAATTTGACGTTACAATGAGCAATGAACTATGACTGCACCACTGTGCTCCAGCTGGGCACATTTGTATTTAAAAATAATAATAATAAGAGAAATAGCATAATTGTGTGAAGATAGAAACAGTAGAGGGAAAATTTGATGAGACAGGAGAAAAGGGAGTCCTGCTGGAGCAATGTTCTTGAGTAGATAAAAGGCACTGGTA